GTCGGGATTGCTTTCCTTTGGGGCAATGTGGTTTTGACCAACTGTATCACCAATCGTGTCCATGCTAGCCTAGGAGGTCAATGACATCCTTCCTGTTTGAAGCAGGTGACAAAACAGGGTAAGGGTCATGCTATCTCAGTATGTGACAGTGACCACAGAAGGATTGGCAGGTGGTTGTAGGGACCTCTAGGAGGTGTGTTTCATCCAGCCAAGCCCAGATAAGGCAATCAGAGAAGTCAGCCTGGACAAGGTCCCTCCAGTTCTAAGTCTTACTGGGTGCCAGACACTAATGGTCTGAAATCGTGACAAGGATGGAGAGGGAAAGATCCTGCATGACTTAGAAAGCAGATATGGCGATTCCCCTCCCACACGCAAGCGCAACTTCCAAACCTCCCAGCTGGAGGCTCTGGGCGGATGAATCTGTGTGTGGTGTGCCCAGTGGTTTCCCCTCAGTGCCTCACAGACTTTAATGTGCCTCCCATGCACCCAGTGAAACACGTCCTGTGAATGGTTGGAAATAAATGTCTTGAGCACAAGACAGAGACGCACCTAGAGTAACAGACCTGGAAGTTGCCAGCAAATCAGACGGACTCTCTCTTGCTCTCTCCTTCTCTCTGGTATCTTTAATGATTCTGAGTGAAAGCACCCAAGTCAATACATTTCTATTTATCCACTCATTCGTTTATGGACTTCATTGTACTTTTAATTAAGGGAACATGAGACTGGGGTTAGAAGCCAAACTGCAGGTTGCTGAGCAGTCAAGGGTAACCAAGGATGTCACGTGCTTGGCTTCTTCACCTGCACCACGCAGCCTTTTGCATGAGCACCCTGACATAGCAGGAGCGTGTGAAGGGTTGCCGAATAAGTGGAGGCCTATAGTGGGACTGCATAGCTGGTGACTGCATAGCTGTAAGTGAAATCTTTGCTTCCAGTCAGTCCCCAGCCCAAAAGAAGAAAGGGCTGAAGAGGGGACTGTAGCTGAGGTGGGCACTGTGAATGGGTGAAATGAAATCCAGTGGGTCTCAGACTACAAGAGCCTATTCCAATAAGGCAACATTATTCAAGAAGGGTGCTGTTTCCATAATATCCTCAGATTCCACCTTCTGGCCACTTTTATGTCAGAAGGAAGCACCATCTCCTAATGCATACCCAGCCACTGTATCTAGCAACTATGATTCTGAAATCAGACAGGATATATCAGGGCCTGGACAGCAGTTTGGTGGGAAAACACCCAAAGCCATCTATCTATGCGGGAGATCACAGCCTCAGGAAGTGGATTGGCTACAAGAGTTAGAAAAAAAGAGAACATCAGGAAACAAGGGAGAACATTGCCATTTTGGGGGCAGTAGTGGGTCTGGATTTTGCATTACCACTTTGTATGTGTTGCCTCAGTCAAGCCTTATGAAAATTTGATAAATGAGAGGTAGGGGTTGCTATCCCTGTGGTAGAGATGAACACAGTAATAGTGCTGTAGTTTGGGTCTTAAGTGTCCCCCAGAATTCATAAGGTAAAGTCTTGCATGCCAGAGTGGTGGTCGTGGTTGGAAGTTGAAACACCCCTCAAAATTCACGTGCTAAAGGCTTTGTTGTGAGCTGATGGGCTTAGGGAAGTGACTGAATCATGAAGGCTCTAACTCCATCAGTGGAGTAATCCATTCATGAGTACATAGCCCAGTGAGCTTACTGAGGTGGGGCCTAACTGGATGAAGCAGGTCACCGGAGGTGTGGTTCTGAAGGGTTTATCTTGGCCCTGGCTCCTCCCTTGCTAGTTTCTCTCCCTCTCTCTGCTCCCTGGCTGCCATCAGGTGAGCAGATTCTCTCTCCACCATGATGCTTCTGCCTCACCATAGACTTGAAGCAGTGGAGCCAGCTGCCCATGGACTGATACCACTGAGCAGAAATAAACCTTTCCTCCTTTCAATTGACTTTCTTGGGTATTGGGTTGCAGTAACAAAAAGCCAGCTGACACAGAAAGTGGCACTACTTGGATGTGGCGAAGAGGTGGGATCTAATGGGAGGTCTTTAGACCACTGGGGGTGACTCTGAAGGGGATTGTGCAAATTTGGTCCCTCCTTCTCCCTTTCACCTGCTGTCCGTGAGGCGAGCAGTTATATTCTGCTGCATTCCTTCAGGTGATGTGCTATAACAAGCCTAAAAGCAACAAAACCAATTGACCACAGCTGGAACCTTCACAATTCTGAGCCACAATATACCTTTTTTCTCTATAAGTTAAATATCTCAGATATTTGTGGTAGTAATGGAAAGCTAGTAGATTTTGCAAAGATATTGGGACAACTTTCACTGAAAATGACAGAAATCCTACAAAGACTAACTACAAAGAGAGAGAGAGTTGAAGAGAGAGTTCTTGGGGAGAGATGTCAAGGGGTAAAGGAGAAGGTACAGGAGCTATGGGGTCAACCCAGAGCTGTGGATTTTCTTCTTTCTTTCCTACTGGTAGACTAATGCCCTTATCCCAACTCAGGAAGGTGGCTGCTGACAACACGAGGCGTCAGTTATCCTGCACAGCAACCACAACTGAAAGATGGGTTCTTTCTTCCAAATTGTTTAGATCAGTACCTGTGAAGAATTCTACTAAGTCCAGTTCCCACCACTAAGGCCAATATTTTTTGCCAACTTGAAAGTGCTATTATATATTTAGACATGTCTACATCATGGATTAAATCAGAAGAAGGGAATTGGAAAAGTTACAAAGGCTAATCACCCTCTCCTTCCCTCAAAATAAATCAAACACACTCCAAAATCAGAACTTGCCACTCAACACTCAGCACCCTAGCAAGGATTCGGTCCCAGGTTTGTCCTCTTTTCTCTCTGTGAAGCTTGGCTACCTCTATGAATAAGATATGAGAGAAAGGCATCCTATAGGATTTAAATCCTATTGGCTAGGAAGTAGTGCTGGCATCCAAGAAGTGGAAGTATAGTGGGTCAGAACTATTGTTTTGTAATATATTTAGTTACATCAGAAACCCAGACCCACTTAATTGGAATATTCATAAGGATGCCAAGAATGTGTACTTCTAACAGTTTTCCAGGTGATTCTGATTAACAGTAGTTCCCAATCCTGGCTGCACGGGACCTACAGCTCAGGGAGAACTTGTGTCTGAGTATGATGGGATCACTGTGGGAGAGGATAATTCCTGAAAACAAAAGTTATTTGTCCTCCTTAGGCAGCTTGATGTTTTCCAGAGCTTTTGAAAAGTATATATTCCTGTCTTCCAGGGTGCAGACAGCTCAGAACTTGGTCTTGAGTTCGTTTGTGGAAATAAGTAGTCTAGTTTTAATACTACCTCTTCAGCCTCTGGCCAACAAGCTACTTTTAATAGCAGGGCTTGGGAAAAGGCTATAAATAGAACGGGGGAAAGGAGCAGATCCAGTGGGTCCACAGCACAGTGGAAAGCTGGGGTGAAGGGAGCAGGGCTCACTACTACTCAGGTAACTCAGATGGCCACAGGTTGCCAGACAAGAGGTCAACACCACTGTCATGAGAAAGTGAAATGAGAGAGTAGCACTCAAGGGAGAACAGCCAAGAATCCCTAACTTGTATTTGATGTCCATCTACTTACAAAATTCATTGTGATATTAAGAGATTCTGCCTCTTACACTACAGCTAATAAATTTGAGGAAAAAAAGAGGCTGTTACCTTTATCTTTCTGGATGATCATCTCTGAAGAAGAGGGAAAGAGTTAGGACCCTGTTGTTCTGTGATCTTCTCCCTCCTCTCTCTCCATGGATTCGCCGATTCTGAGGGCGGCATTCATTAACTGAATCTCATTTCAGACACGCAGAGCAGAAAGTAGCCCTAGCCTCCCAGGTCTTCAAGGAGGTCAATCATTTCCCTCTCTTCGTTTTCTCTTTAGGCAATTATGCTGACATAAAGCTATGGAGTTTCATTTTTCCCTCTTCTAGGTGTAGCTGGGTGATTCTGGAGAGCTTTTTTCTAGATATGAAAATATTTTCTACAGGAAACTGCCAGGCACACCTGTCCAATAAAACCCAAGACACTGTTTGATGCAACTTTGAGAAGCTGAAGGAGAGGCAGTGTCCCTCCACCTCACCTGGGAAGGAGGGGGGAAAATGAGGAGTTGGTTATAGCACAGAAACTCAACCATGGTGGTGAGGTGGGAGATATTTATTCCTTTCTGTGGGAGGGATGCATTCATCTTCAGGGTCAGGGACAAAGGGAAAAGTAAATAAGAGGAGTTGCAATTTCTCCCTTCCCCTTTTTCCCTTTCTGCTCCATCTCTCCCCTCTCCCCTCTATCCTGCTCTCCTCTGTCCCCTCCCCTCTAGCCTCCTCTCCCTTCCACCACCCAGCCCTGTCCTGTCCTCTTTTCTCCCAGCCCCTCCCAGCCCCTCCCATGCCTTCCCTTCCTTTTTCCTTCCTGGTATTGAGCCTAGAGTTTCATGTGTGCTGGGCAAGGATTCTGCCACTGAGTTACACCCCAGCCTGTTGTGTATGTCCTGCTCTGGCCAGGAAGGCTCTATTACTTGAAACATATTGCTTTGGGGAGGTGTGTGGGTGGATAAGCTTACCTTACTAGAAAAAGAAGGAAAAGCCAATACCTAGAACTGTGCCATTGGTTTTTAAAGCAGGAGAAAAGGGAAAAAGATTTTAGTAATTAAGACAGAAACTGTGATTTCCCTTTATCTCAAATGCTTCCTCCCTCCCTCTCACCCTCTTTTTCTTCCTTTCCTCTCTCCTTCCTTCCTTCTTTCGTGCCTGCTTGCCTGCCTGCCTACCCTGTGGCACATTCTAGGTCAGGTTTGACAGATTACAACACATCAGTAATTGTTCCTCCGTGTTGGTCTATTATGAACTTTTGATAGTTGTTGTAGTGTCTTAGCTGTATAGTTTTAAAATCAACTGAGACTTCTATGTGCAAGTAATTTAGAAGTAAGAGTGCCAGTTATTCACATCTTCAAGGCTCGTCCATGTGCTCATGACTCTCTGTCACCATCTAATGGCCATTTGTATATATTGCAGGGCCAGTTCCTGGAAAATTGAATGCACAAAATTATCCAGAAGTTACAGCTTTGTGTTTGTATATCGGCCCCACAGAAAAGACTGGGCTTCATCATCTGCAACTGAGCAAAACTGAAAGTTTTACAGATATGTCTGTGACTACGTGAGGAATAAGTTTTTCTTTCTGTACCAAACTGTGAAGGACTGGCATCTATTGGAAGAAATGATTTATTGGTGTGTGGAAAATCAGTGGCGGGAAGAATCTCTTACATTAGGCCCCCGAGGAGGCCTCCAGCCCCTCAAAGGTGCAGGAACTCAATGCATGGGTGTCTGGTTGAATGAATGACAGGACATGAGGCTCCACGCTGAGGGAGGAAAATATCCCTGAACAGCATTAGATCCACACTGTTCATTCAGATTCTCATCTGGGCAGCACCTCCCACCCCACCCCAGGATGATGAGAAAATCATACAGCATTTTGTCACCATTGCAGGGGTGCTACTGGCATCTAGTGGGTAGAGGACAGAGACTGCTGCTGAACACACTACGTTTATAAAGCTCAGGACAATTCCCATCACAAAGAATTATCCAACTCCAAATGCCAGTAGTGCTGAGGATGAGACACCCCATAGCCCAGGCCAGAGTGCAGTATGGGCCAGAATTGTTCTCTGGCCTCCAGCACTAGCCTGAGTGCAGAACCTACATCATTGGCCACAACAGAGGAAGAACAAAAGGACACTGATGGGCTCTTGCAAATGTATCTCCCTGGAGAGATGCAAACCAAGAACTTGTTTACTCTCAGCTGAGTGTGGATCAAGCTGGAAGCGCTCTGATTTCCTGTGGTGGTTACTTGATACTGCGACTTACAGCCCTGTCCACCCCAGTCTCCTTTCTTGTTCTGTCTGTTGCTTGGTGACATGATGGGGAACACTGTGTTTCCTGCATGCCTTTGATGTCCAGTTCCTCTCAGTGTCCCTGACTTTGCTGACATCACCTGAAGCATTGGGTCACCTGTGCAGAGGTAGCTGCAGTCGCTGGCCACACAAGCACCTTTGGACCTCACGCCAAACACACCAAATTCGCGTCTCAGTGGAACCTGGCCCAAGAATCTGCATTTAAGCCAGAGTCCCAGCTGATTTTGATGCATGTTAAAGTCTGACAGGATGTATGAAGTAACAGAAACACAGTGCTTTCTCTTCTTTTAAAGGCTGTTTGTAAAATGGTTGGGAAAACATACTGGGTTCTCAGGATGTGCTTTGAACGTATTGAGTTCAAATTTTAGAGATTATGAAGTGAAGGCATCAGAAGCTGAAACAGTTCACTCTTAGGGAATCACTGGACGCTGGTGAGGCCTTGCCTCCCCTCTCCCGGTAGATGTGGTGCCACATTCTGCCTCTCCAGCCAGAATGAATTTACCAGTTCACTGTCACATTCAATGAAACAGACTGAGTTTGCTGGGTTGTCATCCATCCCAAGCTTAGCATGGACCTCACCGTAACCATCTCAGTACCCACAGCACTGAGCAGGGCACCGTGGTGTCTACCTTCTCTGCCACCACCCACTCCAAGGCCCTGTCACTGGTCACCTTGATGCTAGCAACAATGGCCTAACTTAGTCCTCCCCGGCCCTGCTCAGCATCTCTATGCCTTATGCATTCTTAACAAGATTCATACTGGCTTTGGGGGAGATGTTGCCTTCTACGGACACACATGAATACGCACCCTGAAATCTAACAGTTTCCTCCATGCTTTATCCCCAGCCCATCCTACAGGGTTCTGCTCACCCAGCTACCTAGCCCTCTGGCCTGCAGCTCTTCTGTCATGACACGCCTGTCTCCTTCAAGCTCTTCACTTTACCCTGTGCCCCTGCTCCAAACATGCAGGATCGTACTTCCCTCTTCTTTTGCTTTGGTCCTGTTTTCAATATTAACTCCTAAGAGATGCCTCGAGGGCTCATGCTCTCTCTCTCTCTCCCACCCCCTCCCCACTTAGATTAGATTCTGCTGTTATCTTTCTAACCTAGGAGCCTAGTTTAGCTTCTTTTATAGTATTTGTGATCCTTTTGGTTTCCTTACTGTTGCCCAGTTATCCATTGAGGTTCCTCTCCACCGGCCCCTGAGACTGTATTACATTTCTCGCTGCACACAGTAGGGATCAAAGGGTCAAATAAATGCACTGAATAAATGAACAGCCGAACAGCCAGCTGGAGGTGCATTGCGGTGACGGTGGGCTGTTTGCTTTGGGTGGTTTCTGTAGGTTTGGGTGTCTGGGGCCAACATTCAGCCTTCAGGAGTTGGGATCGTGGTCACTTGGAGAGGAGGGAAAGACTCAGGAGAAGGTCACGGTGACCAGGAATCTTGGCAAGCTGCAGACCACGACTGGTTCGGTGTTTTAATCTTCCAGCTGCACACATGTGCGAATTACAAGCACCTCTCCCGGTAGGTAGCTGGATTATTTTGAGCGCATCTGAGCCTGTTTCCCCATATCAAGGGGTTAATGATTTCCACCTGGCAAAGGCTAGCCCTACGCCAAATGAGATGAAGCAGGGCAGCCCCTGGCACTTAGGGAGGTGTTGAGACCCATGTGTCCTGACTGTGTCCCTGAGACTTGGAGAGGAGGAGCGTGCAGGCAGGGAGGGAAGCGCCTCTCACCTGGGCCCCTCCTCGGCTCATCCCTCGGAGCGCTGACTCCACGTCGCCCGCCCGACCCCGGGCGCTCCCTTCCCCCGCGGCAGCCCCTCCCCCCTTCGCTCCCTCCCTCGGAGCCCGAGCCCGGAATCCCACGCCCTTGCATCAGCCCGGGGGCTCGGAGGAGCCCGGGAGCGCTGGTCGCCAATCACCGCGCGGTGGAGAGGCGGGCGCTCGGCGGCGGCGCTGCGGGAGCCAGCTGGCGCTGCTTGCCCGAGCCTCAGACGCTCACACCGACCAGTCGGACGCACAGACGGGCGGGCAGGCGCGGGCAGAGCCTCCCGCCGCTCGCGCCGCAGCCCCGGCCGCTGGGGAGCCCCTGCATCCCGGAGCGCTACCGGCGCGGGGACGGGAGGAGGCCACGTGAGAGCAGCTCCCACCTGGCGCCGCACCTGGGCGCGCGGCCCGGCCCGGCCAGCGGGGAGAATGCGCGCCGCCCGTGCGCTCCGCCCGCCGCTCCCCGCCGCCCGCACCTGACCATGGAGTGCGCCCTCCTGCTCGCGTGCGCCCTCCGGGCCGCCGGCTCCGGCCCGCCCTGGGGCCCCGCGGGGCTGCGGCGCTGGGCCAAGGCAGGTGGCACGGAGGGGCGCGCGAGTGCGGGTTGTGGGGGGCGCCCCGGCCGCCCCGCGCCCCTCACGCGCGCGACGCCCCCTCTTCTCTTGCAGGCGCTCCAGCTGTGCTGCCTCTGCTGCGCCTCGCTCGCCGCGGCCTTAGCCAGCGACAGCAGTAGCGGCGGCAGCGGATTAAATGATGGTTCGTATTTGCTCCCTCCCCTGCCCCCACGAAGGGCCCTTGGGGGGTATTTGACCTTCTCACCCGCAAAAAGAGAAAAGACAGCGCAGGGCCTGGCCTGGCCTGGCCTGGCAGGTGTCGCTGGCGTGGACAGGGCCCGCGTTTGGAGAGGAGGGTCGGCGAGCACCGATCCCAGAGATCCGTGCCTGAGCCTCAGGTCACATCAGTGAGGAAGGAAGTATTTTCCCTCCTTCACAGATGGCTTGCTAGGAAAAAATAACCCTAACCGTGGCGAGAAATTAAAAAGGAAGTGGACCCTGGCTAGGGAATTAATGGTCGAAAGGCTCCGTCCCTCGCTCCCTCGCTCCCTCGCTCGTCTCGTTCCTCCTGTGAAAGCCGCAGAAACTGAGTCTTAGGGTTGAGGCAATATGAGCCCCTTCCCGCCCACATCTTCCTCTTCATTTCCACTTCTGTTCCTTTTCTTCCTCCCCTTTCTCCTCTTCTCTACCCTTGTGTCACAGATGCCCAAAGACGGCTTTTAGAGAGAGGAAGACACCATCTTAGGTCTTGGAGTCTTTTTCTGTCTCCTGAGATTCCTCAGACACAAACTTCCACAACATTCTCCATTCTGTCGGTTATCAACTTCTCAATGGCGTCCAGAGGGGAAATCCTTCCTTCACTGTTTTCCACCAGCTACAGGGGAACAGTTGGCTCCTGACCCAAGCTGTCTAGCGTGTTGCTGTCTAATCCAGATTCCTTGGGGTTTTAAAATGTTCATCTTTGCAGGATTAACTCTTCTTGTCAGAGGGAGAGGGTCAAACTGGGACTGGGGGATATCAGAGAATAAGATGACAAGAGACGCACAGAAATGAGCTCTTGAGAAATTTACCTTTTGTCCGATCTGAGGCTGCTTGTCCCTCAGTGCAGGAAGATCCCTTTCGTCCCAGCCACCACCTGTAGAGACTTCACCTGTAGTGAGCGCCCAGATTCTGTACAGGGGATTCCAACTGCCTGAATGTAACCAACAGCCTAGTTATTCTGCTCTTGGAAACTAGTAGCAGGTGTCTTGAGGGTGGGGTGGTTAGGGCTCCCACATATCCAACTAAAAGCAGTCAGAATTTCAGATGATTTGGAACAAGGAGATAAATTACCGTGGAAGCTGTTGGTAAGATAGAGATGGTTTTCATAGTCAGGTCTGTCTTTGGTGGTAGGAGGAGGTGGGATTTTTCTAAAATGAGCCTACATTTCATCAAGAGACACTAGAAAGCAATGTATCAGAGATTTTTAAGAAAAGTGAAATATTATATGTCCCGCTCAGTCTTTTAAGGTGAAGAGAAAAGAATTTTTCCCCCTGATTTCTGAAATATACAGAGAGGAGGAGAAAATGAGAGAGGCAGGACTAAAAAACATGAGTTGCCCAAGCAATAAAAGTCACAGATGGTGCCTATGCAGAAAGAAACAGTCAAGAGCCATTGTCTTATTGGTTTTTGACACCGTGAGTCTAATTAGAATGTCACTCATTGATTCCTGCTAGCTACTTGTATTCTTTAGCTTTCAAAAAAATTATTTTTGGTTGTTGTTGTTGACTGTTTGGGGAAGATGGAAATTCCTCTTTTTATTTTCCCCCTGCTCTAGTAACCAAGGCCCAAGTGACTCAAACATGCCTCTTAGTTATTCGGAATCTTTCTAAACACTTTCCAAATTAGTTTCCCATTCTGTGCCTTGAAAGTGGAAATGCAGAGCAGTCTTTAGTGCTGGGAGGGAGGGCATGTTCCGAAGCTATTGGTGGGATGATGCTTTTCAGTTTCAATGTTTTGTGAGAGAAATCAGTGTGCTGCCGTTGTTTTTCCAAACAGCGAATTGTTTTGCAGCTCCCTCTCTTAGAACATGCAGCAATTAGTGCTGCTCCGGGGAGCAATGGTGCAGGTATTTCTAAACATGCCTTTCCAGGTGTCCCCTGGTTTGCCACGCCCCCTCCGACATGTCTGAGCAGTTTTGCACATTTCTGACAATTTGGAGGCATTTTTCTGCACACAGAGTATTTTAGGCTTCTGATTAAACACAATCACCTCTGAGAAAGCTCAGAGTAAAATGTTAATGGTGACACAGTGCCAACGTTTTATCATCACACATAAATATGGAAATATGAAGCTGCTGTTGCTTGTTAATGTCCCGGGGAACCATCTGAAGTTACTCACCACTGTGAATTACTAGCCATTTAAACTCTGCCCCCTAGAATATGCTTCCAATTCAGCCTTAACAAAAAGTTACTAATCCTCTTGAAAAAAAAAATTCCCATTTATTTACCTTTGAGGGTTTATATTAACTTTTTTCTTCCCAAATCCATTGCATATATTTGATTTAACTACGGATGGTTCCAAAGCCAGATATATAAAGAGCCCACTTCCTTCTCTAGGACTTGAAAGTCCTTTCCACAAGCATTCCTGGAGTTGGTCGAAATTATTCTTGACTTTTGGTTTCAGTGGGAATTACGGTGGCAGAGCTAATTGCAGGGAGAGCGGATTGTCCTCTTCCAGAGCTGCTCTGGGTTATGTTTGCTCTAGGACTTAGGTACCTGGTGATAGGGATCAAGTTATCTGAGCTGTCTGTTGCTCTTAGCCAGCTTGTTGGAAAGTGACCGTTTGGCATTGTGGGTTCTGGGTGCTGACAGCTCCACTTTTCCCATTGCAGATTACGTCTTTGTCACGCCAGTAGAAGTGGACTCGGGTGGGTCATATATTTCCCACGACATTTTGCACACCAGCAGGAAAAAGCGCTCGGCGCAGAGTGGCAGGAGCTCCTTGCACTACCGATTTTCAGCATTTGGACAGGAACTACACTTAGAACTGAAGCCCTCGGCGCTTTTGAGCAGTCACTTTATTGTCCAGGTACTTGGAAAAGACCGTGCTTCAGAGATGCGGGAACCTTCTGTGCGACGATGTTTCTATCAGGGATTTATCAGAAATGACAGCTCCTCTTCTGTGGCTGTGTCTACGTGTGCCGGCTTGGTAAGTGCACCCCAGTCCAGCCAAGCTGGGGCTTTTCCATTTTGCATGATTTGAATGAACAGATGTCTGCAATACTCAGTGCTCTTCCAGCCAAGTCCACCCATTCACTGTCAGCTTTGATACTTATAATATTCTCAATTGAATTAATCTAATCTGCTCTCAGAAAAAAGGAAATATAATAGAACTTTAATGACCGTTTAGAACATTCTTTTGATGTTTAATGGTCTGGGCCTTTTTCATCCTCCATGTTTGAGACAGTCCCCAAGGAAATTAATTTGATGGATGCCATTCGCTCTGTAAAGTCTTGGGAGACCAGGCATTCTATAAATCTCACAAGCGGGATGCATCTGCATCGCTTTTGAAATGGGAAAACTGTATTTCAATGCAGAATCACCTTCAGCAGCCCTGGTAGGCCCAACCTTCAACTTTCCTGAAGAGAAGCCTTTTGCTTCCTTCTAACTAATCTGTTGGTATTATCTTGCTTGCACGAGGCATCTTTTCAGGATGTGCCAGGATGTTTTCTTGAGGTGGCAGGAGCACGTGTGGCATCCAGGGTAGCAGCATATTTAAAACCATTTGGGACAAGTGCTATTTCCTCTCTGAGTATTCTTCGTCTGCTGAGTGTATTGGTGGAAGTGATACTTCACTCAGGAGTCAATCACATATACGAGGCAGTAAATGGTGTTCTGGGCTTTTGTTTCTTGTTACAATTGAAAAAGTCTTGGAATTACAGAAAAGCTCGTGAGAGAGCCACATGGTGACCACTATGTGGTGTGACCAGAAGGAAAATGTAAGAAGGCAGATAAGGGATGCGATTGGTAATATGTAGTGTGCACTGTGTCATGAGCAAGAGGAGCTGCTTAGGTGGGATGAATGGGGTGAATGTTCTCTGCTAGTAACTTTTAGTTCTCTTGTAACTGATTTTCATAGTGTGGCCTGAAATTCAGCTCAAACCTTTCATTATAACCACAGTCATGGTATTTGTTTTTTGATCTATTTAAAGTATAAAGTAAAAGCAATGATTTAACATTTCCAGCTAAGCTGGATCCATTTAAGTGAATATGCTTACTTGCTGCCTGTGTACATGGTTAGACACATCTGTGTGCACGCACGTGTGAATATGTCTTGGCGTTTTGTGTTGTTTGGTCATGGCACAACTCCTGCTGTTGTGTGGCATTTCTGCATGTCTGTCCCAGTATTCTAAAACCTTCATGGTTCAGGAGCTCCAGTCTAGTGCCTGAAACTGTCTCACCCCCATATACTCATGGTTAAGAGCAGTTTAGCTAGGTTCTAATTTTCACACCAGTGCTTGTTGGATCTTGGACAAGTTACTGAACTGAGTGCCTTAGTTTCTTCATCTCTAAAACGGGAATAACAAGAGCATTTACATTCCAGGACTGTGAGGTGGAATGACTTCCATGGGGGCTACTGGGGGAGCTCTTGGCTGTCCCTCTCTTGTTTCCCACAAAACTCAGCCTCTCGTGATTTGTGCTGTCAAACTCTAGAGTGATGGGAAATGTGATCCGTTGTCTCATGAGTAGATGGCAGGTTATTTCTCCTAAGGAAGAGATTTACATTTCAACAGGGATCCAACTATCACCTAACATAGAAGAATGAGGGAGAAGTTTCCACCTTTCACAGGTGTGAAAGAAGTAATTGACAATCAGATCTGCCTGTGTCCAAGGCTGATTGGAAACTGGAATCTCCAGACTCAGGTTGTTCAAACAACCATGTGCTTAGATTTACCCCTCTAGGACTCAGTTTGTTCTGGTGAAGCATGTGAATTGATTTCTAAGATCATTACCATATCTAACCATCTGACTCTGATTATCCAATTTGTTGACATTGGCAGGGCTCATTTGATAAGCGGTAGCGAGAGAATCAAGCTTATCATTACCCCTTTCCATCCCCACCAAACAGCTGAAAGACATGTGCACTCATACTCAGAAAAATTATGAGAAGCAAAACAAAAGAGAGGAAAGAACCACAACTAACAAGCTGTGATACTGCGCAGTATTAACTTTTGTCACCTTGTGTTGACATATGATACATATACACAGATGTGCTAAATATAAATATTGCAAAAATCTTAAGAGTACTGTTTAATTTTCATCAATTTTCTGCCCCTGTAAGTACCAAACAGGGCATTTTAGTGTCCCTAGGAGCACCTCCTTGTCCTTTCTTTCCCCTTTACTACCAACCAGTGGTAACCAGTATCCTAACAACACTAAATATCAGGCCTATTTCAAAATTTTACATAAGTAGCATAATAAGGTAATCTTGGCCATGAAGGTTCTGCAGTGTTTCCACCTTCATCGTTGATTAACTATCAAATTGTTTTCCAGTTTAAAGTGGTTATGAACACTACTGCTGAACAATGATGCTGCCTTTCAGTGAGCTTAGGGACACATTCTGTTGGGTATGTGCCTAAGAATGAAGTAGCTGGGCTGTAGGGTGCTCATAGGTTTAGCTTTAGTACGTATTGGCAGTTCACTTTAAAGCAGTTGTACTCCCCTCCCTCTGTCAGTGTAGGAGATTTCTGGTTGTTCCACATCCTCATCAGCACTTGATATTGTCTGTCTTTTCCATTGTAGCCAGCCTATAGGTGTGAAGTGGTACTCTATTATAGGGTTAGTTTGCATTATTCTGATGGTTAATGAAGCTGAGTACCTTCTCTTGAGCTGATTTGCTTTCTCTATCCTCTTTTGTGATTTGTGTCATAATTGGACAAGAAATAATACATATATTTTCAGCCTAAATCGTGGTATGTATTTTTTTTTCCTCTGAATAGAAATAAGAATTCTGAACAAAAACATTTGGTTCAACTTATCTTCTTATGGCGACAAATCTCCAAAAATGCATTTATTTGCTTTTGAAAAATGATCAAATGAAAACAGCGAGATCACTCGAGATAGCACCTGAAGGGACATTTCATCAAGAACACTGACAGACTGAGAATAGAAGAGAGACAGCCAAGTCAGGAGGAAGGGCGTCTTCACCATTCTGGCTGCCCATACACATTGCTCAGCTTCTTCGGCCAAGCAGGGCCTCATAATACAGCAACAGTAATGGATCCAAGACAGTGCAAATGACTCGAGAGTTCAGGAAAGGGACTTGTGCCTAACAGACTTGTTACAGGGACGCATCAGAGTTAATGACCCAGAGGAGTTAATGTGCTCTTCCTCAGTACAGACCCTGACACAAGGTGAATGAGATCACGAGCCACCTCAACACCTTGATGCTGATTTTTAAGAGTGGGGATGGACCACTCGCCTCAGGATCCCTCAAGATGTATGCGGTGCTATTAGAAAAGTAATGTGTCCATTCTGAATGACTCGGCAAAGTACCTGTAGGAAAACTCCCCATTAGATTAACTGCCAAGAAAACCCCAGAAGAGAAGGAGAAAGGGTAGAAGGGATAGAGCAGTGAAATGTCTATGTACAGACATACAGGCAAACGTGCATACATACTCCAGCTGGCATTTTTCACATAGGGAGTTTGCCTTGATAACTCAGAATTAACTTCTGTTTAAAATATTTGTAATTTTTCTTAAAGTGCACCCTGCACCCCCACCCCAACCTGACAGGCTCATTTCATTCAGGAGTTGAGTAGGTTGGAATGATTCATAAAACTTCCCTTCCTTACTCTTGTCTCTCCTTAGGGTTGGTGGTGGCAGGGTTGCTTTTTCAATTCTGAATGCCTTTTCTAGGCCACCGCTGCCCTCTGTACCTGGCAACCTTCAATCCTATGGAAGTTTTTGGATTTGCCCCTTTTGTCCCATATTTGCAGGGTTGCAGATAAAGCAAAGCTGATCACTGCCTGCCTTGTGTGTCCTTTCTGCTGTGTCTGGCCTGCCCCTGGCCACTACAGTGATGGAAAGGTCATCATAGCCAGGAAGCCCCTGCCATTGGAGGGAGATGTCATCTTGCTGTTGAACTACAACTGACTTAGGGTTTCCCCACGTGTTCCTTGATTTTGTTTTCTGAGAAAATGAATCTGTATCTTTCTTCCTGTGCACTTGGAGATCTAAGAGATTTTTCTGCCCTAAAATACTTCGGTGATTTTTTTTTTGTTAGGATCAGTGACTTAGAGTGTGATCAACTTGGTTAGCTTCATTTGAGGCACTGAGTGTGTCAATTTCTTTACTTGCCACTAAAGCTCAGGGAGGCCAGATCCACAAATGGGCACTTTTAATTCTGCACATGATTTTGATGCATACATTTGAGGACCATTTAGGTGAAATGCGTGTAATTTTGAAAGTTACTAGAAAGACACATTGAATGGTCATTATTTCATCTAGCCACTGTTTATCTGTCACTGGGGTATCGGACACTACTCGGAGCACAGTGGACAAAACTACAAATATGGTGGCTGCCGGAACCAGTCACAGACATAAATCTAGGGTAGAAGGTGCGGTGGGGCATTTAGATGTGCACATGGCTGTTTTCTTGTGAACCAACTGGGGCTCCACAGATCTCAGGAACAAAGAGCTCATACGGTGTGGTTTAGAAATGGGGGAGCTGGTGGAGTGAGGCCCAAAATGCCCCTTTTAGAGCTTTACCATGCACATCAGCATATTAGTCCGAAAAGTCCTACAATCATGACATTTGCTTAACTCTGTGTAAACCTAGACTTTCCCTAGCTTATTTTATAATGCAAAAAAGTTGTTTTTTCTTTTTCTTTTTTTTTTTTTTTGAGGCACATCTCTTCACAGTTTGGTGACAAGAAAAGCATCAAAGCAATGATTCCCCCGAAAGGCATAATATTGTGTATTGCTTCTTTATATACACAGGAATAAGAGATATTCGAGAAATAAAGGAGTTTCATAGTCATGTAAGTTCAGGAAATTTTGGTTTCAAGCAAGTTAAGTATTTTTACTGTAACAGGCTTTCTGCATTTCAATATGCTCTGTGTATGCTATGATGCTTCAAGAGATAGGCCCAATACTAACTTGACCACCCAGCCCCCTCTTTTCTAGACCATACTTCTATCAACATCTT